GTTGCAACGAGAAATAAAGATTTCTGTTCAGTCACATCAAAATCAAACTTTGGCGTATGAGTCGTTAAAAAAAGAATTTGAATCATTAAAAATGACTAATTCGTTACTAGGCAGTGAAGATTATAAAAGAGATACGAAGCTTAAAATAAATTCATTAATTCGCGAAATTGATTATTGCATAGCGCAACTTTCTGATTAGAAAGCATTATGAGTGAAAAACTGAAAATAAAAATATCAATTGCAGACCGAGTGTATCCACTAACAGTAGATACAGCGCAAGAAGAAGGACTAAGAAGTGCTTCTAAAAAAATTGATGCTATGATTAAACAGTTTGAACAAAGCTACGCTGTAAGAGATAAGCAAGATGTTTTAGCCATGTGTGCTTTGCAATTTGCAGCACAAGTAGAGCAAAAACAAATCTCGGGTTCGCAGGATAATGAAACAGCTATAACCAGATTGCAAAATTTGGACAAAAAATTGAGTGAGTTACTCGCAAAATAAATACGTTCTTACAACATAAATACAATACTGCCTACATTAGTATATATTTGATAAACTCAACACTAACAAAATAAACGAGTGAATCTTTGCAACTATAACAGGCCCTTTAGTGGGAAGTTTGAACTGCAAGTTAACTCAAATCTTGTATAACAGAGTTTATACAAACACCTAATGTAGGCTTTTTTTATATAATTTTTTTACACACATCATGATACTAAACATAATAATAGGTATTTTAATCGGTCTTGCAGGTGGATTTGGAATCGCTAAATTTTTAGAAAAAAGCAATGTTTCAAATCTTATTAAAAACGCAAAAAAAGAAGCAGGTTCAATCTTAAAAGACGCAAAAGCTGAAGCTGAAGCCACTAAAAAAGAGAAAATTTTACAAGCAAAAGAAAAGTTTTTAGAACTAAAAGCAGAACACGAACAAGTCATTTTAGCTAGAGATAAAAAAACAGCAGAAGCTGAAAAAAGAACAAGAGACAAAGAATCTCAAATTTCTAATGAATTAGCTAAAGCGAAAAAAGTAAATGACGAAGCGGAAGCCAAAATTGCTGAATATTCGACTAAAATTGAACTTTTAGACAAAAAACAACAAGAAATAGACAAACTTCACAAAAGTCAGGTAGAACAATTAGAAGTAATTTCTGGTTTATCAGCTGAGGAAGCTAAAGAACAATTGGTAGAAAGCTTAAAAGCAGAAGCCAAAACAAATGCTATGTCATTCATTCAAGATACAGTTGAAGAAGCAAAAATGACAGCACATCAAGAAGCTAAGAAAATAATCATTAGCACTATTCAACGTGTAGGTACTGAAGAAGCAGTAGAAAACTGTGTATCGGTATTTAACATTGAATCTGATGATGTAAAAGGTAGAATCATTGGTCGTGAAGGTCGTAACATTAGAGCTTTAGAAGCAGCAACTGGAGTTGAAATCATTGTTGACGACACACCAGAAGCAATTATCTTATCTTGTTTTGACCCTGTAAGAAGAGAAATCGCTCGTTTAGCATTACATAAATTAGTAACCGACGGACGTATTCACCCAGCTCGTATCGAAGAAGTTGTTGCAAAAACAGCAAAACAAATCGACGAGGAAATCATCGAAACTGGAAAACGTACGGTAATTGATTTAGGAATCCACGGATTACACCCTGAATTAATCAAAGTAGTAGGTAGAATGAAATATCGTTCATCTTACGGACAAAACTTATTACAACACTCAAGAGAAGTTGCCAAGTTATGTGGTATTATGGCGGCAGAATTAGGATTAAACGTTAAATTAGCTAAAAGAGCTGGTTTATTACACGATATTGGAAAAGTACCAGATACAGAAAGTGAATTACCTCACGCTATCTTAGGTATGCAATGGGCAGAGAAATATGGCGAAAAAGAAGAAGTTTGTAATGCGATTGGAGCTCACCACGACGAAATTGAAATGAAATCATTGATTTCTCCAATTATTCAAGTTTGTGATGCTATTTCTGGAGCACGCCCTGGAGCAAGAAGACAAGTATTAGATTCTTATATCCAACGTTTAAAAGATTTAGAAGATATTGCTTTTGGATTTGGTGGTGTTAAAAACGCCTATGCAATTCAGGCTGGTAGAGAATTACGTGTTATTGTAGAAAGTGAAAAAGTTTCTGATGAAGCTGCTTCAAACTTATCATTTGACATTTCTCAAAAAATTCAAACTGAAATGACATATCCTGGTCAAGTAAAAATTACAGTTATTCGAGAAACAAGAGCTGTAAATATTGCGAAATAAAATCTAAAAATATCATATATAAAAAGAGGCTTGTAAATTACAAGCCTCTTTTTATTTCTTAAAATATACTTTAAAAGTACTTCCAACATTTGGTTTGCTTTCCACTTCAATCTTCCCTCCCATTGTTTCAATTTGGTTTTTGGTGATATACAAACCAACTCCTCGAGAATCTTCATGTCCATGAAAAGTTTTATACAACCCAAAAATTGAACTACCATAGCGTTCCATGTCAATTCCTACACCATTATCAGATACATTCAATATTAAAAAATCTGTTGTATCAGTTACATTGAAAGAAATTAAAATATCTTTTTTATCATTGGAATATTTAATTGCATTAGTAACTAAATTCAGTAAAATACTTTCCAAATATGCCGGAATACAATTTACTTGAATTTTTTCATTTACATTATTTTCAATTATAATATTCTTATTGGTAATATCTTCATTCAAAATATAAAGCATTCTAGTAATATAATCTGACAATTGTAATGAAACAAATTCTTTATTAGTTTGTGTATGTACTTTTACTAAATCATTTAAATTTTCTATCGTTTCATTAAGTTCTTTAGACACAATATCAATATTCGTAATAGTTTCTTCGTGCGTAAAACTACGATTATGGTATAACTCTAAAAGCGATTTAATATTTCCAGCATGAGTACGCAAATTATGAGAAACAATATGTGCAAAATTTAGTAACTTATTGTTTTGCGAATTTACAATTTCAAGCATTTTTAACAATTCTTGCTCTTTCTCTTTCTGTGCCGAAATATCTGTATGAGTTCCTGCAATTCGCAAAGGTTTTCCATTTTCATCACGTTCAATTACTTTTCCTCTGTCTAATATCCACTTGTATTCACCATTGCACAATACACGATGACAAGTTTCGTAAAAAGGAATTTTGTTTTCAAAATGCAAATTAATATTCCCATAATATTCCTCACGATCATCTGGATGAACTCGATCATCCCATTCTTCTGGTGAAGCAACCAAATCAGATTCAGTTAACCCCAAAATTTTCATAGATTCCGAAGAATAGTACACTTTATTTGTTACCATATCCCAATCCCAAACACCTCTGTCTGATGCTTGAACTGCAAAATGATAACGTTCATCGGCAACTCTTAATTGAATTTCTTGTTCTTTAATTGTAGTAATATCAGACAACAAGCCATAAAAGATAGTATCATCATTTTCTGTGGCTTTTGGAGTAGCTTCAATTCGAATCCACTTATAGCTGCTATCAGGTAAGAGAAAACGAAAATCTACTTCCCATTTAGCTTTAGTTTCAACTGCAACATTAAAGGTTTCTTTAAAAACCTTTAAATCACTTTCATAAATTCTATACTTTGCAAACTTATATGAATCTTCTAAAATTTCTTCAATAGAAAATTGGTATAAAAATTCAACAGGCTTACTTATAAATTCCAAATGAACTTCCCTATTAGCAGTTACTCTAATTTGAAAAATTATATTTGGAAGTTGCTTTATTAAACTTTCGTATAATTTATTTAAATCTTCAGGCTTTTTGGATGTAAAAATCATGAATATGGGGATTTTTTTAAATATTTACCAGAAAAATAAATTTGGAGTTTACAAAAATACTGAAAACCAATGATTTATTTTGTTAAAATTAAACAAATGTTAATTTATTTTCTTGGATGAAAGTTATGCAAAACCTGTGCCAAATATTTTCGATCTAAATGCATATAAACTTCGGTAGTAGTAATAGATTCGTGACCTAGCATCAATTGAATCGAACGCAAATCGGCTCCATTTTCTAGCAAATGAGTTGCAAAAGAATGACGAAAAGTATGCGGACTTATTGTTTTGTTTAAGCCTATTTTTATAGCTAAATTCTTAATAATAGTAAAAATCATTGCTCTTGTAAGTTGTCTACCACGACGGTTTAAAAATAAGGTATCTTCAAAATTTTTATGAATAGGATAATGTACCCGTATTTGATTGACATATTGAGTAATATATTTTATAGTAGTTTTCCCTACTGGAACAAAACGCTGTTTGTTTCCTTTACCAGTGATTTTAACAAAGCCTTCTTCAAAAAATAAATCAGATATTTTTAATGAAATTAATTCTGAAACTCTTAATCCACAACTGTATAAGGTTTCTAACATTGCCTTATTTCGTTCACCTTCTGGTGTAGACAAATCAATCGCAGCAATTAATCTATCAATTTCTTCTGTAGAAAGTGTATCGGGAAGTTTTCTACCAGTTTTAGGAACTTCTATTAATTCTAAAGGTGTGTCTTTCCGATAATCTTCAAAAATTAAGTAATTAAAAAAACTCTTTAAACCCGAAATTAAACGCGATTGACTTCTTGGATTTACTTGTGTTGCCATTTCATAAATAAATTGCTGCAGTATTTCCTCAGAAATATGAATAGGTGAAACCTCAATTTCTTTTTGATTTAAAAACAACAACAGCTTTTCAACATCAAACGTATAATTTTCAATGGTATTTTTAGAAAGACCACGCTCTAATCTTAAATAGTTTTGATATTCTTTTATATACGATTGCCATGTACTCATATTCCAAATATAAACAATT